GAAAGTTCAAAAGAATAGCATTTATTTGAAATAGCATTATAAATGTTGTGACGTTTAATCTTGTGTCCTTTCTGAATAAAAGGATTTATTTCAAAGACTGAACACAAACTTTTTCAAATGTACTATTTACATTTTCCTCTACAGGCTGATGAACCTATTGCTGATTATGCTGCAATGGATGATGTTTATCAAGGTAAGTGCTGTTTATGTAAGCTTAAATTCTCTTACCAGTATGTCTCATTTCCAACACCTATTTCTGCGGGGGGTTTTTGATGCAGTGTTTTTTTTTTTCTAGTCTGTATGCCTGAAGAAGGATTTAAAGGTATGAATACACTGTTTTGTGATTGTTTCAGACATGCATTTTAATCTTTAAAGCCTTTGTGAAAGAATCCAGAAACATTATATTAAGAAATATTATTCACGATCTACCATATTTGTTTCATTTTGTTCAGGCACTGGGCTGTTAGGACACTGAGTGGAACAATGCTGACAATGTCTGAGAAAGGATAAAGCTTGAATTACACATAGATGTTCATTCTTGGGAAGCCTTTTTTTAATTTTCTTTCTTTGGTTTTATTTTTTATTTTGTTATTGAATGTTGCAACAACTTCAAAAGTGTCATTTTGCTTTAAAACATCATGCTCGCTTTTAATATTGAAAGATGTTGATGCATTCTGCAAGATTTTGTGGTCGTGCTTACCATGACTGTGAAAAATACGGGTCGAGATTTCCTCAAAGGACGTTCCATTTCAAGGAAAATCGGAATTCCTCCTTTGTTGCAATGTCATGTTCAGAGATTATGGTCTGATCATATGTTGTGTGTAAAACAGTAAGTCTCTGTAAATCCTTTGTTGAAAAGAAGCTTGTGATGGCACTGCAATAGAGCTCGTACATATTTAAGAATGCATGAGCAACTTGAATATTAAAAAATATTTAGTCTTTGTTTCATTCATGTAAATAACCTCATCCAAATACAGCAGTGGAGAGGCGTCTAGAAAGATGAGGATAAATAGGACACATATTACAGCATTGTTAAATAGTTTAGACATGTTCTGCTACTTGAAATATAAAGCAGACATTTGTGTGAACTTTTCTGTATGTTCTTTCATATGGGCAATAAATATTCTTTTTACATCTTCAGATGTGCAGTTTATGCGTAGAACAATTGCAGAAATTTTACTTTTATAGGAGCATTTATATTCATTTGTATTAAATATGTATGTTTTAGGGTTGTACGCTTCTGGTCCAGTCAGCATCTTGAGACAGCAAAAAAAAAAATACTTATGGTAAAAAAAAAAATTCTTTTTAAATCTATTTTGTCCATATCACTATATTCATATCACTATAAATATGAAATATGTACATGCTTTTAACCTGCATTGAAAAACCTACATGTTTAAGCATTTTGACACAGAACTCCCATATACCAAACTTTATATATTCATCAGCTATGAAAGATGTTTTAATTAACAAATTCAAAAATCTGTGTTCCCAACTGCGGAAAAAAAAAATCACATTTTATGGTTTGTTTTACCCTGTTCAACTGCAGCATCTCTCCAAAAGATGAAAGCATCTTTAAGGAGAAAACTGTAAAGATTGAAAACTTGCTAAAATGTTCCCGAGAAAAAGAAAAAATCAAATTATGACAGTTGCATAACAGATTTATAATATATATATATATATATTTCCATCCAATTTTAGGAACTGAGAGTCATTTTATTTGAACTTTTGCTGATGACAGCATTGAAAATACAACATCAAAAAAATATAGGTTTTGGAGTGATTTACAACTATAAACCTATCTGTGTAGAGATACAAGACAAAATAAGACGGCTCAAATGCAATAAAGCGCATTTAATGTAATTAAAACACACATTATATTCGAGCATTTTTATACATAAAATCATAAAGCTTTTTGAGTGCGTGTACGTGACTACATGATTGATGTATACGGAGGAGTATTTGTGTGTTTCTAATCATCCTTTCAAAGCTTCCCGAAAACCAGCTGTTCATTATACGCATGCGTATATAAAGGGTATGGAGAACGAACCCTGCAAAAACAATAAATAAATAAATGCACAAATAAATAAATGTGTGCATAAATACACGTATTCTTGTTTAAATACATAAATGAATATTTAAACGTGATGAAAGTAGGCAATAAATAAAATAAATTGGTGGGCAAATGGAAAATGTTTAAGGAAATGCTAAACTCATCCTAACTATTTTCCTTTGATCACTCATTTATTTCTGAATGTAGTTACACTTTTTTTTTCCCTGCGCAACATGCTAATGAGAGGGTGTCAATTATGCAAGAGTAGGCGGATGGTGTGTGACGCGCGCATGCGTATTAACTTCATCAGTCAAGGTGACTGGTTATTATCTTACACTTTTTCATAGGGTTAGTTTGAACTGAGCATGTTTATCTAACGTTACTCGAGTCAATGATGCTGTTGAAGTATGAATGTAATACAAATAGTATTACAAACAAATAAAAATGATAACTATGAATCTTCAGTATTTTGATAGTAACTGTTAATCTTTAGGATTCTACTTTTTTTTCTCGAAATATATGTACCTAACTGCAGATCTGACCATATTCTGATGACCATAAATGACTCATGATCACTCATTATGAGTAGATGGAAAACTGCATTTGCCACACCTTTTATTCCAGTGGATATTTCTCAGGGTTGGTTCTTTTTGAAAATCAGTTTTGTAAGAACTCATACCTAAAAGTCCTGCCAACAAAAAGCTGAACATTTTCCACCGTTATTGCCTACCTCATAAAGTCACTGGAATAAAACTGTAATAGTGACAGTCCTCATATTGTGACATACATCCCAAATGTGGATTTTTAAAAAAGAAAAAAATATAGGACAGGGACTTGGTTCTATGCATCGTTGTTGTGAGCATTGGAGCTAAAATAAATTCCTCATTATTCCCTTCCCACTAAACTAAACCTATAAAATAATATGCAGATTTCACAAAATACTGTATACATTTATTTAATATCTTTCTCTCTCTCCCCCAGGTGGGTTTAGAGAAGATGGCCACAGAGCACACCAAGCTGATTTATGTGACCACTGGAGTCTTACTGCAGAAATTAGTGGCAGCCAAAACCCTCACAGAGTACTCGCACATCTTCATAGATGATGTAGATACACATACATCTGCAATTTATAGACATACACTACTGCCACATTTAAACCACATTTATTCGATCAAAAATACAGTAAAACAGTAATATTGTAAAATATTACAATATAAAATTTAAAAAAAGTGTTTCTATTTTTAAATACTTTCAAATGTTATTTATTCATGTGATGCCAAAGCTGAATTTTCAGCAGCCATTACTCTAGTCATCAGTGCCACATGATCATTCAGAAATCATTCAAATATGCTGATTTGCTGCTCAAGAAACATTTCTCAATATCATTTCTTATTATGTTGAAAACAATTGTGCTGTTTAATATTTTGTGGAAACCATGATACATTTTTCAGGATTCTTTGATGAATAGACAGTTAAAAAGAACAACATTTATTTGAAATAGACATTTTATGTAACAATGTAAAAGACTTAAAAGACCATGATCAATTTAATGTATCCTTGCTGAATAAACGTATAAATGTATTAAAAATCTCACTGACCCTAAACTTTTAAACGATAGTGTACATTTATAGAAATAGTATTCACATGCACAGAATGCATATGCTATTATGAAAAAGTTCCATTTTAAAATAAATATTAATTTAAATGAAAACAATGGCATGTAGATCTAATTGTTTGCATTATAACCTGGTTTAGGTCCATGAGAGAACATTGACTTCCTATTGCTGGTTGTCAGAAAACTACTGTGGACCAATTCCAGATATGTCAAGGTTTGTGCAACACTCACACTTTAATTCACACAATCCGATTTTACACTGTAATTCTTACCTCTTTTTCTCTTACCTCTCTTTCTGTAGGTTATTCTGATGTCAGCCTCCATAAACTGTGCAGAGTTTGCAGAGTATTTTGGAACTCCGATCCGCAATTAGATGAATCCAGCATACTTGTTTGAGGTGGAAGGAGCCCCATACGCCATTGAAGACTTCTACCTGGATGAGCTCAAAACCATCCTGCCTCTTGGAGTCAATGTATGGGAAGCATCAAAAATGATATATTTTGACATTTCTATTTAAATTCTTTATACAAATGTTTGTGTGTATGTGTTAGGTGGACTTAACCCTCCCAGTAGACCCTTGTATCACGGAGATGTACAATGTTGCCGTCTCTCTCATCCAGAGCTTTGATGAAATGGAGGCTAAAGATCAAAGGTCAGAAATCACAATGAGTTCAGTCACTACCGTTCAAAATTTTTGGTTAAGATTTTTAAAATATTTTTGAAAGAAGCCTCACCAAAGCTGCATGAATTTGATCAAAATACAGTAAACATTTTCAGCGGCCGTTACTCCAGTCTTTGGTGTCACATGATTCTTCAGAAATCATTCTAATATACTGATTTGGTGCTAAAGAAACCTTTTTTATGTTCAAGGTTGAAAACAGTTGTGCTGCTTAATATTGTTGTGAAATCTGTGATACATTTTTCCAGGATTCTTTAATGAATAGAAAACAAAAACAGCAGTTATTTGATTAGATTTTTTTTGTTTTTGTTGTGACATTATTAACTGTCACTTCTGATCAATGTAATGCATCCTTGCTAAATAGAAAAGTTTGTTTTTCTTTAAAAACAAAACAAAAAAACTAACACACACACAAAAAAATAAAAACTTACTGACCGCAAACTTTTGAACAGCAGTATATGTAATATTTTAATAATTTTGTGAGATCAGCTATACATGAAATGCTGTGTATCTTTGTTTGTCGTATGTTTAAAGATTCAAAATCATATTTTAAGTCATTAAAACTGTTAAAACCTCAAGTCAGGTGGATTCTGATTGGCTGTCAGTGTTTTTAAAAATTGTTCTGAAAGTGATTCCAACGATCATTCCACAATCATTGTTACAATGTGTTGTGGACGACACTATTCTCATAGAATTAAAACAATTATTAAAACTTTAATTATAGTTATCGTTCTTTCTTTGTGTGACTGGGCCTGTAGTCTTAACACTCAAATATTCGCTCAAAAAATAAATCTCATGGCAGACATATTTCAGCAAATTAATGTCCAAATAAAAAGTTCATTAAAATCATTGCAATATTCGAGAAGCTGTTTACATTTGTTGCCAACAAAGTTATTATGAATAAATGGTATATCTCCCAGCTATCTATTACAGCTGGATTTTTTTTATGAATTTCATTGAGCCATAAGCTGTATCTGCATGTTTCATTGCAGGCACAGGAGTTTTGCATCGCAGGCATGGGTCCGTCTGCGCAGTCGCTGATTCTGGGTGGTCGTTGGAGCAGTCGGGCACGTAACCGATTTAAGACTCTCACAAGCGGTCGCTCTGCCATCGTGTCCCTCTACTCAATTCTGCACGGTGTCATGCGCGTCGACCTGCACATCTCCATGGAGCTCCTGGTGCAGGAGGGACACGCCTGCCACACCCCTGAAAGCTTTGAGAGTCAGGTAACCTTGGCAACACCATAGTAACGTCTACCTGACAAGTTTTCTTGACATTATTTTAATTCAGTTTTTTAACATTTCAGTCCTCTGTTGCTTGGCAACAACGAATAACTCCTGACATATGCACTAAAATATTTATGAATCAAGTTTAAAATTATTTATAGTTCATTAAACTAGGAAAAGTATCGAAGCTTATTTCTGACACAAAGTAAAACAAAGGTAATTGCAACTTTCTTACTTTTCTCCCAGCTGCTTTTATCTCCCAGTTGTCTTTTTCTCTGTTTTTATCTCGCAGTTGTGAGTTTATATCTCACAATTTTGACTTTTTTTTTTTTTTGTTAGAATTGTGAGTTTATATCTCAGCCTTGGTGGAATCAACTTTCCATAGATTTGAGACAATATTTTAACATTTGTTAAAAACATCCTGACCTGAAATCAGCCAGTTCAATGTCCATGCTTCTCTTTTTTGTCTATCTGCAGCAATCCCATGAGGTTCTGATGTCTCTGTATGAGGATATGGCCAGTGGCAGATTCACCCCTAGTTCTGCTAGTGGTACCCTGAACAGCAGGATGGAAGAAGACAAGCAGCTCATCAACGAGCTCCTTCAGCACTTTTGTGCCTCCAGCAGCAGCTCCCCCAAGTGCAAGGTGCTGGCATAGCAGCCCTGTGATCGCCTGCATTTGAACTGTGCTGTATAAACTGTGATGTGTATTTCCTCTGGGTCTTTAAATTCTGTTCTGTCACTCTGCAGGCTTTAGTTTATAGTCCCAGCAGTCCACAAAAGTTCAGCTTTCACAGCATGAGCATGATCAGCCACTTCAGGTAAGACATGCCTGTCCATCTCACAGAACAGACAAGTTGCATCCCAGGAAAGGATGTGGTGAGTGTTGTGAGTTTAGTTTTGTTTGCAGGGCTGTTGGCATTGAGAGGGCAATCACCTTACCGAACATGTGAAGCACATCATACACAAGAGAAGTGTCTCCTAGAATTGCATAAGAGATGTTGTGGGGTATTCAATTTTATTAGAAGAAAGTTTCATTGGAAATGCTTGAATGTTACTTCTATGAAATGTGCAGTATTTTAGTTTTGTCAGTCATTTTTGTTACTTGAGAAAGAAAATTTCAGTTGCACAATGCAGGGTTCATTAATGTGTTGGAAAAATATTATTCTACTGCACTTTTTTGTTTTTCAAGGAACAGTTCTAATTTTAAAGTTATGTTTTAAAACAATGTTGTTATTGTTTTTTTAATTTAGCTGTAAGCTGAGTTGACCATGTTCTTGCTGTAGTTGAATGTGTATAGTAAATAATTTGTTCAAATTCCTGGACTTTTTTTTCTTTTTTCAGAAATTACTTTGCTGTCTCTACCCAGGTTGAAAGTAGCTCACCCATTAGTTTTCCATAACATTTGTGCACTATATTCCAAGCTGTCTGAAGCTGTATGATAGCTTTATGTGAGGAACAGACCAAAACAATTTGTATACAAAAAAACATATTTTAAAACGTTACATGCTTATAATCTTTTTCTCCACTTTTAGCTCAAATCTCATTTCTCAAGTCGGCATGAAATGGAAATTCACCCTATCACACTTATAAATCCATGTTATTGATCTGTTTGTGAATGATGCATCCATTTTATTTGAATAAAACATTTTGACTTCCATAATTCCATTGAAACAAAATACTTTTCGTTGGTGATGTATATCAGGCTTCTTCAATCATTTAGTCTGTTTAAACCAACCCCTTTGTTACAATTGTCTGCAAGCTCACATTCAAATCTGTCTCCATCTGTTTAACTCCGATGTATGTCAGAATTTGGAAAATCTGTCACTACTTATCTGTTTGCTAACATTATATTCATTTTACATTAAGCTCTGATACTTTATTGAATAGCTACAGGACATCATTTAGGGGGATTTGCATTTTGCTCATCAAACTCAAACCTGCATAACTTGCAAAAGAAATCACAGCCTTATGTGTCTTTAATGCTTTGCAGAATAATTTTTCATAATGCCATTTGTCTGTCCCATAATGACCTTCTCTTAGTTCATTTTGCTCTGAATGACAAGACACCAACCCTCCTACATTAAGGAACATTTATTTTTCCCATTCGTTAATTAAATACAGAGTGCAAATAGTTAAAGACTTTAAAATAACTGAACACTGAACGTCGTACAAAGTTGGACAGAGTTTAGTACAGCTGGAGCTCTGCAGTCTGACAATCAGGTGCCCTAGAGAAGGACCACAAAGCTTGTCTTTAAACACCTACACGTATCCCTACAGTTCTGCAAAAATTACAGTTACACATTTAGTAATAACATCTTCAAATTATCAATGTGCTCGAATACACAGAAAATAACAAAAACAAAAAAACAATCCACAATTCAACTTGATATTAATAAGTATGTCTGTACACAGAACCACTCTACCAGTGACGGTGAATTGAAGCGATTATTCGACATGGCAGCAGGAGATTATATGACAGGCATGATTTTCATTTTTGTGTTACATTTTACAGCAGGAAATATGCACTGCAAAGTAAAGCAGAGAGAGGAAGAGCACTGCAGAGATAGCAAATATTTACTCAAGACTGGACTTCATGCACTTAAATCAGAAGCAATGGAAGAGAGAATCACTGTATGTCCCTCTGGTATATCTATAGCTCTACGATTGCCCACAAGGTGTTATTTATGTGAATCGGTGTTAGTTATGCAGGAATTCACCTGTAACTGGCAACAGTGGGGGGTTTTATTGGTGCCATTATACTAACATTATCTTTTTTTGTTTATGCTTTTTTTTTTATTCGTTTTTGAGGTGACATTGGCCTCCTGTGTAGTTGGGGTCCTTCAGTGCTGGCAAAGTTGTAGATTTTACTGGCTATAGTGTTTACTTGTACAGAAGCAAAGAGTTTATTCCTTCTTTTTGGCCCCAGGAACCTTTTCTCTAACCCTGAAAATCAAACAGAAAATTAAGCAGGTTGATTATATTTAAAAAATATAAATAAATAAAATTGAAATTTTAATAATATTTATACAGAACTCACTTTCCCATTATCGAGTTAAACTGGGTGCGCACCAGTCCTAAGTACTGATCAATCTGTGTCTGAAAGGGAGAAAACGAGTGTGAGGATTCACCATACACAATATTGATGCCAAAAGAATCGATACTTAAACAAAAACAACAATACCAAAAGAAAGCCATTCACTATGGAAGCTTGTTTCCGACATGGGATGTAAAAAAAAAAAAAAAAAAAGGTAACAGCAAATTTTTAGGTCACAATTCAGATGACCTTTTTATTCTCTGGAAGAAACAAAAAGAATTGCAAGATATAAACTCAGAATTCCGAGAAAAGGTCAACATTTTGAGTTTCTATCACACAATTCTGACTTTTTTCCTCTGAATTCTGACTTTATATCTATATAAGTTTATATCAATTCTGAATTGTGAGAAAATAATTGTGAGAAAAAAAAAATATATATTTTTTATTATTCCTGTGGTGGAGACAAGCTTCCATAATTCACTACTTTTATTTGTTTCTTTTTCTTTTTTTAACTAACTGTACTTGAATAATTAATTGAATTGTTTACTTAATTCAGAATTAAAATAATAATTTCAAAAGTTTTCATTTAATGCAACTTTAAAAAAAAAAATAAAGGTGTATGTTTAATAGCATATTAGTTATTGCTCAAAATTGGTATTGAGTATCATGAAATTTCACTGGTATAGGAATCGACATCCTAGGTTCTGATAATGTGGCAAAACATGAACCTTAAAAAAAGATAATTGTGGGGACTGGGAAAACATTACCTGGTACTTCTCGTAAACCACTGGCACACTAAACATGGAAACCACCACTAAACAGAGAAAGATCAAGGAGAGATACAGTCAGGACAACTGAGCTGCTCTCCCAGAATGCTGTGTGGTGTCATTTGATTACAGTTGTTTGAGGTTATCACACCCTGACCTACAGGAGTGTGTGTGTTTGTGACATGGAATTACTGAGTGTGTACTTAAGATATGGAAGGAAATCAGACAGCAAACACACAACACAATAGAAACGGCTGAACATTTCTTAAAAAATAATTTCTTTACTAAGAATCAGCACTGATATAGGAGAAAGCTTATCAAACTTTTCATTTAAAATTCCAAGACATTAACCAGCTCTATTTCCCAATATTACTGTTTTTTTTCTCTGTATATTTGAACAAATAAATGCAGCCTTGGTGATGCTAAGGGACTTTTTTTTACGAATCATTTTAAAATCTTACCGACCCTAAACTTTTGAATGGTAGTCTATGTTTGTGCTGTTTTCTTACCCAGAATCAACAAGGTCAGGCCATTAAACAGAGCTCCAACATAGGTCAACAACCACATCAACACTGCAAACTAAACACACACATATATGTCAAATTATCTTCAAAGCTTTTAAATCCTTTACAGGAGCACTCAGTAACTTTTCCCACTGTCTAACAAAATGAACAGCACTTAAATATCTTAACAAATTATGTAAACCTACATGAGATGATGACTGTAGTCATATCACTGCTGTTTTATTCTACATTGGGTGGGCGCCACTCATGGTTTGAGATCACATGATGAGCTGAATGCAAGCTCGAAAATTATTGGTTCCAAAAACAGTTATTTCTACCAAGGCATCTGTAACTGAAATTATCTTTTGTTCAACACTCCATGCCAATAGGTTTCAGTATGAAGTCCAAGACCACTGTTGTATCAACCAGTGGAACAAAATTAGTGAGTGCACCATTAATACTAAAGGTTATCTCGAGTTTGGCTTTCAAATTGAAACTGCAATAGTATCATAGAAAATTAGGGAATGAAATGTTCATCAGCTAGCGTGTTTTCACCTTTATGGAGTCAACCATATCCTGAACCAGGAACAGCCTGCGAAGCTCCTTCATGGTGGAGTTGATGTACAGCTGAGTCTTATCCACATACTTAATGATCTGATCTGCAGAGAGATCAATCTCCACCTCTAGATAGGCCCTAAAAAAGAGAGAAGCCATGAGAGTGAATGAACAGATTCATTGCTCAATATGTACAGAAGCGAAAGACATAAACTGAGTGGTGGACTAACTTGAAGGGGTGGCCCTCGTCGGTTTTTTGCACTGCCTGCAGGACTGATTTGTAGACTCGGAAACTGATGGTGGCGGAGAGGACAGCCAGAGCGAGATATGCTATAACACTCACCACGCTGAACTGGGTTAAAGAGAACAGCAGCAGCAACACGCTGCCGAAAACCAGTCCAGACTGCTTTAAATCCCGCCAATGTAACAGATCTACCACTGAACAGAGGGACAAAAACAAATAGGAAAGTGATCAGAACAAGAACCATGTCACTTCTTAAGTACACAAATCTTACAATGAGAAATTACAGCATGAACCTGATTGGTCAGCATCAAATCTACACAATCACAGGTTGCAAGTCTCTCTACACTTGTTCTATTTTAGTTCAGTAATTCTGCTCTGTAAAACATTGTTTACATAGCCATCTCAAATTAGCAGCTGTTTAGTATTTGTTACACTTACTATGTAGTAGCAGCATTGGCCATTAACTCATCTAAAAGAAAATAACACAGTGGGTCTTATTCACTAACTGTACGTGAAATATGCCTACGAACATTTTCATAAATCATGATTAATCAAAAACCTTGGTACAAAAATGTTTCTAAATTACGAAAAAATGTAGAAACACATACTCTGGGTGGCTTTATAAACATGATAAGATAACATTTTATACATAAATATTTAATCTTAATATATTTCATCATGGTAAAAGAGTCATTGCTCGAGCTGCAAGGTTCCTTTGCATAAAAATTTAGATATGTATAACTGGCTAATCTGGGTCTGTATAAAAGTTGATAACTGTGTTTGAACTGCTTTTAAGGATGGCACAAGTGGAATTGCTTGAGAATCAAATGCTCTCTGGCAAGAGTGTCTTTGGAGACGAAAGGCTGTAAAGGAAAGGTTGTGCGGAAAGCCCTTATGGAGATATATGGGCATGTTTTCTGCAAATTACTAACCTCGGGCACGTGGTCGCTCATTTTAGACACCTTTATTTCTATAGTGCTTTATACAATACAGATTGTGTCAAAGCAGGTTCAAAGAGATAAACATAAGCAATTATGAAAACTCTGCTTAGGAGACAGTTCAGATTCTGCTGTAAAGCAGCTCTCAAAGACAATAGTGTCATTATTTAGCTAGTTAGTTCAGATCAATAACAGTGTGAAGCTAATCGATCAGCTATGGGCAGTTCTACAATAGGTGGCAATGTTGTTATACATCTAAAATCAGTTTATGTTCAATTTGTGTCAATGTTGCAAAATGTGATTCAGCTATTAAGCAGCTCTACAGAAAACAATAATGCCATCATCCAGATTAATTCAGTACAGGTTTTGTCAGTCAGTGTGGTCATACAGATACATTACTTAAAGTTAAGTGTCTCTCAGAACCCAACCAAGCAAGCCAGAAGGTGACAATGGAATCCAAACTCTATCAGAAATTTCCATTAGTTTTATTCATTTCCATAATTGTGACTTTTACAGGTCTGAAATTCTAAAATTCTCTTTTCAAGTTTTTTCTTGACTGTATTCATCATGCATTTTCCATGAAGAGAAAATAACCTTGAGGCCATCAGTTCACACCTGTCTACCTCTCACAGCACCTGTTGTCAACTTATCTAACCCTAACCATCTGTGTACACACATACACTGTACTGGGTTAATTATTGCTGTTGGCTAAGACAGTACAAATAGTCATGTTATCAGAAGTGCTGTAATATAATGACCACACACACAGTGAGCTATGAGCCTTCACCATTCTAACGTAAACTTTTAGAATTATAGCAGTGAAATGGAGAGGTGCATGAAGGTTACAACTTTTAAATTGCAGGTTTAGTTTGGCATTTGGTAGAGTATATCCATGTAAAATGGCGAAACCTAGTGAAATTATCATCACTCTACATAAGGGAGATGAATTTATTTCTACACCGTCACTACAGATGTGTACCATCTTAAGTTGCAGTGGTAACTTGGAGCAGCCTAATGTTAAGTGTCTTGCTCAAGGATCACCCCTTGCAGGGTTCAAACCTTTTGGTTACCGGCCCCGACATGCATCTCACAATCATCCAGATACAAAACTGTACAACTACCATTCAAACCTACAAATTAGTCCCTCCGTTCTCTAAGAGCAAGTCATTTACAAAGTACAGCTTCATTAGGAAAGTGTTTTGTGAGCATGCAGTATATGCATTAAACAGATTAAAACCAAGCACACTTAACAACCAAATGTAACTTTTGTTATGGGTCAGAAGTTGAACACAACCCAGTCAACACGTGAGATCATGCGATGATCACAGTGACATCACACAATCCTCATACTGTGATCCTCATATAGTATTAATTTAGATCTCTCTACAGAAAGGATTTTGCAAGTTTTAATAAAATGTTATTTAATAACATTAGTAAGCTAAATAAGAATATTTCCAGTATGTGCCTCAGGCTTGCAAAGTATCGTCAACTCCTTTAATTGTGACCACAGTATGAGCATACAGTGAGTGTGCAGTGACCTCACATTGGGAGCATAGTATGAGCACACAGTGAGTGCGCTGTGTGGTTACACTTTTAGCTCACTGTGACACACACATTGTGACCACACCATGAGAATCGTGTGAGCTCATGGTGACATCATTGTGAGATCAAATTGTTGACTGGGAATGCTCCTGTTCTAAGAGCTAATCCTTCCACAGAAACGCGAAACATTCTGGAGCTTGTATTTGCTATTGATGTGATTCTGACTGAATCTGAAGAAATAACGTCTTGTACTACTCATTTAATGTGCTTCTTTTTCATACAGTATTTAGCAGGGAAGTAGCAATGCAGTAATCGTTATAGTCCTGAATGCTGATTGGTCAATATAGAGTTCTAGCCATGCTATAGTACAAATACACTGCTGTTTAACTGTTTTGGATCTTTAAGAATTTTAAATGTTTTTGAAAGAAGCCTCTTATGCCCATAAAGGCTGCATTTATTTAAAAACAAAGTAATTTTTGTAATATTGTAATTTACAATATTACAATATTTGTAATATTGTAAAATATTATTAGAGTTTAAAATGTTTTCTATTTTAATATATTTAAAATGTAATTTAATCCTGTGATGATGAAGCTGAATTTTCAGCAGTCATTACTCCAGTCTTCAGTGTCACATGATCCTACAGAAATGATTCTAATAGGTGATTTGCTACTCAAGAAACATTTCTTCTTATTTTCAAAGTTCAAAGCGCTCAGATATTCATTACTGAGCAGGTGTAATGCTTGATATGGTGAACAGGTTTCAAGCAGGTATCTAAGAAAACCAGATCTTTCTTCTCTAACTGCTGGAAGCAAACACATTCACCTTTCCATCTTTGCCCAAATATCACAAAGACAACACAAGTAGAACTTGTTGCCATGAGAACCAGCAGTTTGAGATCTCTGAATCATCTCCAGTCTCTGCGGCAAGCGAGAGCTCCCTGTAACTTATGTGTGTTTCCTTTTTTAACACCTGTATTTTTACACCTTTTGTTGCGGCTTCAGAAGAAACTGTTACACACTCACAGAAGCTGGTCTGTCACACTCTAGCGTGTGCACGACATCTGTAGTCCCGTGTGATTCTCCCATCAGTCCCACTGGGCTAAATTTAGCCTGGCAGAGCTTAGAGGGCAGAAATATCTGCCATTTTTATCTCGCGATTTTGCTCGAGTCCAAGATGAAGTGCAGGCTTCAGATTCGACTGATCGTTTCACTGAGAGTTGAATACACTGTTAATTATTCTTAATAACTTCTGATTGTCTCTCATCAATAATAATGTAAAACAAAAAATACAAAAAAACTTTAACATAATTATTAAACTATTACCTCTGATGGAACTTTCTTGCTCTGGTAAATCCCTCTGCTAACTGACTCTCTAAATAGAATTAAAGACTAAAAGCAGCAACGTTCGCACTCTTTCTCCTTACACACACCTTTAAATATTACTTAACTAATGTAGACTAGCATAATACTAGTGTTTAAGGATATCCAGTGGTTAGGTGACCTAACATGGGCTCTAAAATCACATATGGACACTAAAACACCACTAAATTCAGTTTTCCAACAAAACCAGTGACATCTGTAATTAATTCTATCATTATAAAAAATAGTCTTTGAGATCCCTGATTTTTGATGCTAAAACGCCAAAGCTAATAGAAGACAGAGAGAGCTACTGACCTGAACCACCCATGACTGCAGACAGCAAGAAAAGGAGAGAGAGAGACAGTGAGTGGGAGCGCACACAAAAGGAGAGAGAGAAAGGCAGAGAATAAGAGGGAGGGGGACCGGCTCATACTACCATTGGCTAATAATGAACACTCACACACACACACACATTAATACAGCATACAGGGTGACAAATAGCCCAGACTAAAACACAAACACAATCAAAAATGATGTGTGACTCTTTCGCAGAACCTAATTAATCCACCTTATTTCATATGTCCTATGTGGCAAGTGTGTGTGAGAAGAGAAAGAAAGGGGGCAGCAGTGGTTGCTATAGATACAGTGTTCCAGTTTCCCTTACACACATTGCTTAGGGGGCCAGCTTAAAATAAAAAGGTAATGGTGGGGGGTAATTGTGTGCGTGTGTGCTGGTGTTTAAATGTCGGAGTGTAATTATAGCATCAGAGATGCACATCCAGCTTGACAACCAGTCTAACATTATTATCCAACCATTCACTTCCTGAGTGAACAAGGGCAATGCCCTGTATGGAGTGCAGCAGTTGAATTCCGGAAGTAAAAATCACATTCATTTTCTTCATAGCAGAATCAATGTTTAACAATAACTTACAAAGCTTATAAACCAGACCTACTGTGAACTACAAAGTTGTTAATCAATGGCATATGCTTTTGTTGAAGCCACTAGATTGCATTATTTCAACTTATTTTTTAAATAAATGTGTTCAACATAACAAATCCAGGTGAAAAACTACATTACCCATGGTTCTGCAAAAAAACTTACACCAAATCATCAAGTTGCGAAACTTAAAGCACTCCCATGAAACACTGTAAACTACTTAAATATTTATATATATATGCATATTTTGCAACTGGTGTAAAATATGTTGTTTCTATATACGCAATCAACATCTTTAAACCAATATTTCTCCATATATTTCGTATTTATTTCAATTACATTCGCAATTTGTATTTATGTTTATTATATTTGCAATGCTCCATGGAATTGTAGTTCATTAAAGCTGTTACACAGTCCATAGTCTTGTACCTTTGTCTTTTTATTTTAAAATAGTTTTTTCCTTCAAATTAAAGTTTGTAATATTGGGATTCACCTTGTAGCTGTTTGGTTTGATTTATGGCTTTTAACTTTTAATCAAAGACTTTTTAAAAATCCCTAAGGGAAAAATGAATGGGAAACATACTTCTGGAACCAAGGCAGCTGAAAAAGTGAGCCCTCTGTTGGGACTGAAAGCCTGAATGTTCATTCAAAATGGCTGAACAACTAGATATCTTGTTATAATGTATCATAAAAAGATTGTCTTAATCAGTTAGCAATATGCTAAGCTAGTACACAAAGCTATGAAACGCATCCTGGACCAGGAAGGGAGCATGTGTGACTGCATTAAAACCTTCTCTGCACTTCCGACCCTCACAATGCCCAAGCCCACTTTATTTTTGACTTTCCATGTACATTTTCACTCAGTGTCTGTCCTTGTTTACCTTTCCACCACAGTTAAAAATAGAGGTCGACCGACATGGGTTTCTCACTGGCCGATGCCGATATTTAGAAATCAGGGCAGCCAATGGCCGATATATGATGCCGATTTTTTTGGCCGATATGTTTGGCTGATTTTCTTTGTTTTTTCCCCTTCATCTCATAAAAGTTAGTTTGAGTTAGGGTTGGGCCGATAGACGATGCCATCGTCCATCGCTGATGGCTGACAGACATCACGATGCTAAGCTGACATCGCCCAACCCTAGTTTGAGTAAATGATTATTGCAGGGTACAAGATGCTGATTAATTAAAAAATGCCAAAAATCGGCCGATCAATCGGTCGAGACCTCTAGTTAAATATAAAAAATTCTGTCATCATTTACTCATGTCATCATCTGTATGTCTTTCTTTATTCTGCAGAACACAAAATAAGATATTGTGCAGAATGCTGGAAACCAACATTTTGGTTAACATTGACTTTCACAGTATTGACAAAAAAAAAAAAAGGAAAACACCTTCTTTTATGCTCTAAAGAAGTAAGAATGTCATGCAGGTTTAGAGCAACATGAAGGTGAGTAAATGATGACAGAATTTTCTGTTTTTGGTCGAATCTTCGTTATCAGTGCCTTTGTCTTCATTGAATTCACATGAACTGTGCTTTTTTGTCACATTTTGTGCCAGTTTGCTTTTTTTAATTAGGGTTGGTGGTAGCTTATTGGTTAATGATCTGGGCTGCTGACACAAAAATCTCAAAAATAGGTGACCCAGACGCCAGAGTTACTGCGATCACAATCCTGGTACTCATACATTGTGCATAATCAAGACCCCATACAACACACACACAAGCCTGCAAATTCCAGAGCTAAACAGGAAATGGAATCCAGCCCCACCAAACGATACAAACATAATTGAAATCTGGAGGTAATATATGTTAATATAAAATTTACATATACTGTACTTGCTTTTGTAAAGTGTAATCAGGAAAAATATTCTGTCCTGACTTTAGAAACCCTGTTGCTTTATCCAATAATTAGCACATTAGAACAATTATTTTATGTACTTACTTTTATTGAATTACTTAATTTCCTAATACAGACAAATGTATATGGATGAGTTCAAATAAAACACCGTCTTCAGGCATGTGAATGGTTTAGAAATACAGCACTGTATGTTGTATTTATTTATGTGTTAGGCTACTTTATGCATGTCTCTGTGTGTATGAGAATGCAGTAAGAGGGGTCTAGACTCTAGAGGGTTTGTTATGAATCATCAACAAACAAGAAATCATTTCATAGTGATGTCATACCATAATGCAGGGGAAATGTGATGTCATACAAATAGCATAGAGACAAACTGAGTACAAATGTATTTTTGTGTTGTTAAACGATCATGAGTAGAATTTCTAAATCGTTTAAACGCATAATGCTAGGAATGGATTTAAGATACATTTACTATGCATCAATGGTAAAAAAAATAAATTTAAAAGGCCCTACACATATCTAGGCAACAAAATATAATAGAAACCCTCATGTGGACTCATTTTCATGCCAAAACAACTACCCAGAATACTCTAGCAACATCCTAGAAACCATTAAGAATGCCTTATACTGAGAATACTGTCAGGCCAGTCATAATGTTGTGAATTTTTCATCTAGTTACAGACAGTAGTTTCAGCAAACACAGCCATACACAAATACTGTAGCTTTACAAACACAGACTGAACACAATGCAGTCCCTATAAATGGAGTGTCTGCACTCCCTCCCAACACCATTGACCTAGGTGTACATTTAAAATGCGCCTTCCATTGTACTAGAATAGCCTAGAGAACCATTTTTCTGTTTGTTTCTCTTTTAAAAATAGCCTAGCTCACAATTTCTTAGTCTTCCATGCCCTCCCTCTTTCCTTCTCCAGGTATCATGGATGCCTGTTGAAGAGAATGATGTAATCAGGATGGGTGTGACCTGGTTGCCATAGCGACAGCCTCATCCAGCGCTGCTGTAACCGCGATTGAAGATAAAAAAAAACAAAACAGTCTGAACTCTGTTCCGTGGCAACCGGAGCCTAATCTAACGACACAGCGGGGTTACCATATCAGCATTACTATGAAGCAGACGGACCACCTGCCACCCCTCATCCCAAAACAGCTGCCTCTCCCCTCTTCTCTTTGTCCCACCAGCGCAGGCTTCACGTAAAACGCAAAACCTAATACACGCTCAAATACACAGCATAAAATACACACGAACAATACGGTGCTGTGAAATGAATACCATAAAATACGGTTTTTATACAAACACGAAATCTGTACCCTGCCCTCTCCAGCTGCTCCAGTTGCACTCTTTCTTCCCTTTATCCATGTCTTCCCGTCCTCTGACGTTTCGCTCGCTGCTGTCGTCTTTCTCTTTTCCCTTTCGCAGATCTGATGTCTTCCCGAGACCCACTATCTCACACGTCCGAACGGCATGAATGGCCAGAAAAGAGAGAAGAGAGCAGAGGAGAGACAAGCTACCGCCACTTAGTGAGGAAACGGACGGACAGACAGACGGAACGAGAGAAAGAGAGGGAGAGGCGCTACTCTGCTGGATGAAACCGTAAACACTGCAGCCTCCACCGCAGAGAGCGGATCGTACCATATGCAACGCCCGGGGCGTGATGGGGGGGATTCAGATCAGAGGCCCCACCCTATCTAACAAAGTTAATACATAAACATAAGCAAGGTCATGTGACCTTATTGGCACTGTTGTCGGCACAAAATGGGCGGAGTCTGCTGTATATATATATATATATATATATATATATATATATATATTTTTTTTTTTTTTTTTTTCTTACAGGGATAGTTCACCCAATATTAAACACTGTTTGGTAAACAGTTGACATTGACTTCCATAGTTTATTTTTCCATACCGTCAACTGTTTGGTTATAAATCTTCTTTAAAATATATTCTTTTGTGTTCAACAAAAGAAAGAATCTCATACAGGTTTGGAACAACTGAACGTGAGTAAATGATGACCTTACACACTGAGTAACAAATATTTATTTAAAATTATACAAAAAATGATAGTAAAATATTCTCATTGCAGAGAAACAAAAAGCAAAAGAATAAAGCAATATAATTAAATAAAAATAAATATTCTATGGGATATATATATATATATATATAGAGAGAGAGAGAGAGAGAGAGAGAGAGAGAGAGAGAGAAACAGCTCAATATTTTAATATTTAAATAAACATTCATGTTTGGACGCTTCACAGTTGTTTGTAAATTAATGTAGTAGTTTTATGTTGTTAAATAATCATAATGATGATGATGATGATTTTGCAACATAATATTTCTGAATAAATAAACACACTGTCTGTTCTATGATATTTCAACAGCAAGAGCCAACCCAGTAAATGCATGCGTACTTGTGCATGCTTTCATGCGTCGGTACGTGTGAGTAGGACTGGTATTCGATTATTTCAGTCTTGGCTTATTCATTTTCATCATCTTCTTCTGTTTCCCTCAGCATCTTCTCTCTAAGGGCTCACCACGGTAACAGCTTAAGCTCCCGCTCGCCCGTGTTACTATGGCAACAGGGTGATCTGTGCTGATCCAGATTGTCTCAGAAATGTGTGATGTAGAGCGTTGTTGTTTTAATGTTTTAATACCACGACATAAGAAACACCCGAACTGTTCACATGAAGATATACTTTATCACTACTGTGATCTGTTGGTAATGTTTTAATGATTTTTTTTACATTTATAAAAACCAAAAGCTGTGTCCATAAACCGCCTGTCTCTATCGCCCTCTGCAGGTGATTTACGGTAGCGCTACTGAAAAGGCGTTGACCTCTTTTTCTTACATTCTAGAACCTTCAGTTTCAGTCACCAGACAGTGAATGGAATATAGGCCTATGTCTGTTAAAATGCAATTCACAACATTAGACTTACATACAGCCTACCTGTCAGTTTATCTATAGCTGCCTGCAATTTTGTAATATTAGAAAATAATGAATAAAGGAAGCAAAATAGCAAATGAATATATAATCAACTTCTGTTCCTTCAGAAAAAATGAATAAAATCATTTCACAGTGCTTGAAGCATCATATCCGCACTGTCCCCATTTTAAAACAGAATTATATAAAAATACTGTTTACAACAAGAGGGTCTGCTTCTCTAGTGAGAACCACTTAATCCAAAACAGTTCATATGTTCAAATGTTAATTTCTTCCACAGCTGTCATAATTTCATGGCACTCAGGTTCACGTAAACACTGAAAGGTGGACTGACTTCAGAGATGAGCATGTTTAGAGCTGTGTTCTGGTTCTGGAGTCAACAGTTTCATGAACACAACAGAATATCATCTCACTCCTGCTATGAATGTGCAAATAAAGAATTCCAGTACAGAAGATTTATTTTTAATGAGCAACATCAGTACTTTTCAATTTAAATGTTGTTTAAATGTGCAACCTTAACTTAAATCATAAAGGGTTTAAAAAATAATGACCTGCACAATTTGAAAGATCTTCGATATCTTTTGGGTCAGTGTACACCATTACGTGAGCTTTTTTGCTGTTTCTGTGTTATTGTGAAGTTATGTAAATAAGCCACAGTGCAGTTGTTTAAACCCACCACTAGAGGGAGATTATCCCCTTAATTCAGCCTCAATCGACCCCAGAATAGAGTGGATCTGTCTGTGGCTGTGTGCCTGGTGAGTCAGACTTCACAAGCAGCATGAAGGTACTTCACAATGAAACTGATTTCATACCAGCTTTCAAGGGACCATGATGTCATGTTTAATGATCTAAAATAAATTCAAGTGAGCTTTAGTCATAAAAAAGCATTTAATGACTAAAATGTGCATTTATTGCTAGAAATGTTAACATTTATGAATTAATTTACTCCAAATCATATGCGTCGAATCATAAATCTATGCTGCTTTCAAAATAATAACAGATGAAGGCATCTTAGTAGACAGGATGTTGCACAAAAAGTTGGATGTTCTTTAATGCCTTACATAAAGGCTGTTTTTTTGTGCTTTCAGACACAGTCATTGTCTCTCAGACTCTCCACCATTGAATCAAATTAGTCCTTGCAACATAAGCATAAACTTTTATGGAAAACACCAGCTGTGACAATAATCTCCTCAGCACTACATCCTCTGAGCATTGCAGAATTATGAAGTGGCATGACTACACGTTCAAAGAACAGATGATAAAGAATGAGATCAGTGAGCTGGATTACAAAGGAAATCCAGGATACTCATGATTTAAATTAATATTTTGGGTTCAATACAATAAAAAATAAGGTTTGTTTTGATAACATATTACAGAAATGGTCTCTTATGCTGTAAATCATACACAGTTTCTGATTGATTCAGACTATAACTTGTTGTTTTGAAATACAAGTGTCATTCATTTTGGGGGTCAGGCTATACACTATCTGTGCCATACTGTATGTGTTTGATTCACTAAAAAGAGATGGCTCATAAGAGTCATTTGTTTGTGAATCTGAACTAGTACACAACCCAACAGAAATACATTTCTTGCCATTATTTTGTGGCTCGTGTTTTTTATTTCTTCACATTCAAAACAGACTGCAAACTCACATTCAACACTCATGTGAAATATGACTTTTGCCTTTTGTCTGGCATGACAAAAAAAGCACTCAAAAGATCATGCTAATTAGATAATACTATTAATACATAAATTCTGAATGATCTACATTGAGTAAACTACTGATTATTAAGTTAACTTGTGTTGCGTTAAAGCTGCTATGATCATAGCATCTATTTAAAATAGCGTTTGTTTTGAATATGCTTTGAGATGCCATTTGGTGATAAACAGGAGATGAGCTGGTACTCCCACACATCACTTCATCAGTTCATGTCACTCACCACCTCTCATCAAAGCTGTCAGGCAGTGGATGTTCTCTGCATCACAGCACTAATGTTAGCTGGGTTCCAAACCTGTAATCATCTAGAGCAGTGGCTCTCAACCTTTTTGACTCCACTTTGTCCAACACAATATTCCAAAGTCCCCTATGGCTATTAGAGATATTTCCTCTGGCATTTTGCTTGTTGCCACTGGGAATGTTAATATATTAAGTTAATTAAACATAATTTATTTTGTGATTCTATAAGATTCAAGATTCTGATTCTGTGTGTTTTTCAATAGAAATAATAGTTATTAAGGGGGAAAAGAAATATGTCAGTTTACATCTGAATTTGTGTGTGTGTGTGTGTGTGTGTGTGTGTGTGTGTGTGTTTTCAGCATTTAAATTAAGTTTAATTGGAAGTTTGCTGAGCCCTGGTTGAGAACCACTGCTCTAGTCCTGAACGCTCTGGCGGTTGCACTAAAAACAGTGCACTAGTTTTAGTTGCACTAAAAACAGACTTGCTTACAAATCTATGTTAGGATTTAAAATTAATTTTGTGTACCGTCTAATTGAAAAAAAGTTACTTTCCATAAATATTTCTTACATAAAACTGTATTATCTATTAATTTCATCACTGTGTTATTTAAAAAAAAAGTGTTTATGACAGTAATTTTACCTGTCACTAAATGCAAAGTAGACCCAAAGTGATTTTTCCCTTGAATTTTCATTTTGGTGGCTTAATATGAGGAAAAACTCACATAAATGTTCCCAAAAGAAATACCTTAGGCATCCTGGATAAACTTCTAAGGGTAAATAGTTTTTACAATTTGATCTAAACAATCATGTTCTAGTTCTTCCATTTAATTTACTCCCCAAAGGCAGTTTGACTCACATTAATGAGCAAGTTTCCCTTATAATGCAAACACTTTCTAAAACTGTTTATTAGTATTTACATACTATTTTATTACTTATTAATTTTTTTATTTTTTTATTTTTATATTTTCACTTTTCATATTAATTTTAGTTTTAAGTTTTAGTTTTAATTAATTAAGTTTTAAGTGTCCTTTTTATATATATTTTTCTAATTAGCTTAAGTTCAATTTTTTTCATCTAATATTTAAATTTTCTTTTATTTCCACAATTAACAAAAATGCTTTTTAATTAGTTTCAGTTTTAGTTAAAAATAATGTTGCTTGTAGGAAGAATAACAGCAATGCCTCTTACCTTTCTGTCTGTTGATGCTTTGGAGGAACAAGGACAGATCAGCCTCTTTCTCTGTAGTGGAACTCACAATACTGCTTTTGCTTTTATTCTCCTTCTCCTGACTGGAATGCTGCTCCGGAGTCGCTGTAGACGTTCCCATTACTGCAGGCCTGGGTTTGGTTGACCAGCTGTCCTCTGGTTGTGGCTTGGGCTTCTCAACAGGTGCTGCTTTCTCTTTTTCCTTCTCTTTTTCTTTCTCTGTTTCTTTCGAGGTGCTATCTGGGGGGTCGATGAAGGGAGAGGCTGTGGCGCAGGAAGTCGTAATGGGCTTAGAAGATGTGACGCCTGTGGTCAGGGGAGAAGATATTTCAGGAGGTTTTGGGGCGGAATATTCCTGCTCCCTCTTGGGACTCTCCTCAGAAGCTGATTCGATTAACAGGTCGCTGTCAAGCTCCGCCTCCCTTTCCTCTCTTAGCAGACTGTAGATTGGTGGATTGCTGGATTGACCAAAGCCCCCCTTGGTACCCCCAGACAAGTCAAATAGGTTACTAGCACTGACCTTGTTGGTTTGTGGTTTGTCAAATGGGTTACTAGCATTATCAGTGGCAGATGTGTAGCTGGTCTGCTCAAACGGGTTGCTTACTTGGCTGAATCCGCCTTTTGCAGGCGGGGTCTTAGATGTCAGGTCATATATTGGTGAATCAGATTCTTCGGTCACTTGCTCAATTTCTGAATCTCCAGATTCATCTCCACTGCCTTGAAGGTCTTGAGCCCATGGGGACGAGGGTTTGGCTGAACTCTTGATGTCCTTGGCTTCAGGAAGACTGGGATGAGAGCTGATGCCACTGGAATCTTGAGTGGAGCTCACAGACTTCATTCCTGCAGGCTGGAACAGCACATCAGATGGAGACTCTCGACCTGGAAAAGAGGAAAGTAATGGAAATGTCAGAACTGTAAAAAGCCTAAAATATGAGAGAAAGATTATAACATATAATTCTTAATAATGCACTCAAATAAATTGCAACATTTTAAATGATTTAAATGATTAGGTATTAGTGGCAAGACAGTAAGATCAAGACTATGGATCAGTATTTTTCTGCCTGTAATAATCAGTTTACTTAACTAAATAAAATAGAAATATATATATTTATATATATTATATTTTATATATATTTATATAAATAAATATTTGTCTATTACTTGGTATTAAAGGCAAGACAATAACCCCACGGATGAGTGTTTTTTCTGTCTGTCTGTCTGTGTCTATCTATCTACTTGAAAATAGAAGGCATTCTGAATTCAGTTCTGAATGGTGCAGCAAGTGCATCACAAGTGGAAGGGATCTACCTGTAGGGGAGTGGTTAGGGGAGTGGTTAGCTGAGGAGGCTGCGCTATCATCCTCTGGTTCTGACAGTGTTACTATGGGAAGACCCTGCTGACCGAAACTGAGCACGCTCTCTCTCTCGGACATGCCCCCTTGCGGAGACACTTTCACTGGCTGGGACTCTGTTGTAACCGTGATCTTTACAGGACTGGCACTCTGTGGCGTTTCCATCCTATGGTAAGATCGGTAATCTGCCATCTCTTCATCTGAAGGATCCTCCATGTACGGAAATGCGTGCTGCCCACCGGCTGATCCCGGACTCTTCACCCCTGTATCTTCAGATCCAAGAGGACTCTTTTCCAAATAGCGACCCAGATCGAAGGGGTCATGGCTGGATTCCTTTTCATGAATCTTAGGCTTGAAATCCTGAATGTCATCTTCATCTTCTTCGTCATCTCCATAGCCAGACATGGGAGGCTGCTGCTTGTTCTTGGTATTGCCCACACTACCAAAATCACAGAGGTCATCCCCCATGTCCATGTAGCTGTAATGGTCAGTCTTGTGTGAACCCTGCAGGGTCGTCTGATGGTCTGAGGGGTCACCTGGGGTCATGCCGATGCCGGAGTCGGTCCCAGTGGGAGCAGGTGGAGAGCGGTTGCCCTCAGTGGAGAAGAGAGAGGCACCATCATTGAAAGGATTGGAGGAGGATTTTGAGGAAAGGAGAGAGGTGTACAGATCACCCTCTCCTGATGATGACTTCATAAACATGTCAGACAGTGAGTCACCTAGAGAGAGAGAGAGAGAGAGAGAGAGAGAAAGAGAGATAAGTAATGAAAATCAATGGGTGGAAAAAATGTAAACAGAAAACTGGTTATTCTTTTTTTTTTTTGTAAAAAAGATTGCAAGTAAAAATGATTTTCATGGTGTTTGTTTTCATTATTGGTTCTTGAATCTGTGTATTTCTGTGCTGATGCACACAAAACACCATACTAAAATAATATTGTTTGTTCATTTGATAATGTGCATTCAAAGATACAAATTCAGAAATTCAGAGCTTATTTGTAGTAAGTACCTATTCAGACCTAAATTATCTTTCAGTATTATTTTTTTTTTACATGTTACCTTTAGGATCCATTTTTCGAAAATACAATGTATCCTTCCACTGTTATGTGTGACACTTGTGACATCGCTAGTCATTCTTTGAAAAACTGATCTCATGCTTTCATTACAATTATACATGTTTTCAACCAACATAGTCATTGTTTATTATAAAACATAAGATTATTGTAATATATATTGAGAACATTTGATTTAATCACCAAAACACAACAGTGTGATCTTCTTTCAATTTAGTACTTTTAACAATCAGTTAATTGAAGAGCAAACAATGCAAGGTACATGTTTCAAATTACCTTTGTTGCTGAAATAATTACAGTAATACAGGCAATAATTGCCATGTTACAAAATACACTTACATTACCTAACTTGCATAACTCACATAAAATTCATGTTTGTAAAAATATTTATCCAGAGTTATTGTAATAAAAGGTGTGACATGGCCATACGGTTTTGTGCTAGTTTACTGTCAATGCAGTAAATGTCCTCACTGTGCCATATGACTGAATCTGTGCTGTAGCTGAACTTTTCAGATAAAAGGTGAGTTATGTGCAGTCTTTACCATGGTAATGCCTCTATATACAGTATCACATGGCATAATGTAATGTAATTTGTGTTTGATAATGTATTTGATGCCATCTGTCTCCCTTCTTCTGATACAATTCTGATCAGTTCCTCTCCCTTGTATCCTGCTGTATGTTCACAAATTGTAATCACATGGCATAATGTAATGTAAAATGCTGTATTTGATGCCATCTCCCTTCTTCTGATAAATCTCTAATCAGTTCCTATCCCTTGTGTCCTGCTGTGTGTTTATAAATTGCAAAATATGTTTTATAAACAAGGACGTCCTCATAGGGAGGTTTTTGGTGACTTTGTCAGGTTTTGCTCACTTCCAATTTGTCCCCAAAATATGGTTAAGTAGGAACACACACACACACACACAAACAAAACTAACCCTACTCCTTTAACATTATGAAAATTATGGTTTTACACTGTTCTGTTGTGATGTCCAAGGAGCACAAAATGCTGCTGCCAGAATGCTCAAGTCAGCCAAGATATTTGAATCAGTTACACTGCTTTTAAAATCACTGAAATGGTTGCCTCTTCGGTATAGAACTAACTATAAGATCCTATTTCTCGTTTTCAAGATGCTACATAATTTTGCCCCTTCTTATCTTTCTAATGTTGCCATTTTATAATCCTTCTAGATCTTTGAGATCCGAAAATCTAAATATTCTCTGTGTTGTCAGAACAAAATACAAACAACAGAGCTTTTTCTTGTGTTGGACCTAATCTTTGGAATGATCTCCCTCTTTCCATTAGGTCTGTAAAGTCACTACTGAAATTTAAGGCCATGTTAAAAGCACATCTTTCAAAGCCTTTTTGGGCATCTTCATGAGTCTATGACTCTGTACGTTGTTCTCTGTACTCCTTTTTATTTTGTGGTTGTATGTTATTTATGTGTTTGTGTCCATGCGATTGTGAATACTTTGGGCAGCAGCTGTTGCATTAAAAGAAAGAATGGATGGGTTAATTATAATTTAATATATTTTTTAGTTTAAAGTTTATTTGCATTTATTCTGTAGAATTCGCTAATGGCAATAATAATACATAAAATATGTTAGAATATTATATAACACTAGTTTTAGAGTAATTTAGAGTATATTTGGGCAGCTGCACTCACAAATGTGATAATAATAGACAAAGACACAGTCCTACACAGAGAAAGACACAAAGTAATCGAGCTGAACAAGAATCTATGCAGAGAATCAGCATGAAAGTCGATTCTTTTTCCAGACGTGATGTAAATCTGATTCCCACTGGACTGAGAGGAAAAGCAGATTAGGAAGTTTGATCATGTAGTGACATTCAGACCGTTTGGGTACGGTGAACACTACACAGCCCTCTGAGACACAGTTGGAAACATCTGCTCTGTCTCTGTGAAATCAGTTGAGTCTTAAGAGGATTAATGAAGGTTGGACAAGGAACCCTGTGACTGCTACATCTCCAATAACACATGCACATCAGCCTGTGCTAAAATTTACGGTAGGAAATAACATCGTAATGGATCAATGCCCAAATGCATTTTGGGGAAATGAATGATGTGATTCCAAAACCTATCATGGCATCTTGCCGTCTACAGCTTATACAGACAGCTGTCTTCTAAGGCAGCATAGCAGTGTTGTTATTGTTGACTAAAATAAAACTAAACATATTACAAATCGTCTTTGGTAATTGAAATAAAGCTGAAATAAAATATAAATATTAGATGAAAAACATAAACAATTTAAATGACCATTAGAAATGCTGCCTTGTGACAAAGTGAATTAAAAACTAAGTGAATTAAAAATAAATAGCTAAATAGAAATATTTAAAAAACAAAACAAAGCAAACACACATAAAATTATCAGATCATAAACTAAAATTAAAATGAAAACCAAAAATATAAAAATAATTGGCATTGCCATTAGTATGTTGCTAACGACCCAATACTAAAATATAAAAATATATCGCACATACAAATATTGGGAAAAACAGTCAGACCAAACAGTTTCATAAAAAGATCCTTTTCAGTATTACATTTATTATCAATATTTATCAGGCTTCCTCCACCAACTTTGATAGATTTTTTTTACACTGAAAAGTGCATTAAAGAGTTGCCTTCTCCATTCTTGTTTGAGTACTAAATGTGTGAATATCAGAAAAATGTGTATGTCTTGCCAACACCAAACAGTGACTGCCCGTTTTTCAGCAACTCTGCGTCTGGTATTTTTCATATTCATTTCTGCCATAGACATTTTCTTCAATACAGAATTCTAAGCTACAGACCAAAATGGCCACAAGTGAAAAAGTTATTTGATAAAGACAAAATTTGTTTTATGGGTGTGGCTGAATTCGGTATAGCATCCTAAATTTACATTTACCATATCTTTATATAGTAAGAATAGTATGCTACTCTGAATTCAGCCAGTGACTCGATCATGTTATTTGCAATGCTTGCTGGGAGTAGGCGGACACTGCTGAGCTCTTTTGGCAAGACTCACATTTCCATGGTAACAGTGACTTCTCTGATTGTTGGAGGATTATGGGTAGTGTAGTTCTTTGCCAGAAATTAAGGGGATAGTAAGCTAAAAAAATTAAATTTACTGACCCTGCATGACTTTCTTTCTTCTGTGGAATAGAAGAGATATTGTGAAAAATGACTGTGTTTTGTTGTACATACAAAGAAATATGGACTAATTGGGGTCCAATGTTGTTTGGACTTCTTTTGTGTTCTGTAGAATAAATAAAGTCATACAGGTTTAGAATGACATGAGGGTAAGTAAATGATAGATTTTCTAGTCATGATAGAAAAAAACAACATTATTTTAGAATTAAGCTGAAGTCACGCTGACTTGTCTTCCACCATTTTACAACCTCAAAATTCTAAGTAGGTCTGTCTGGAAAGGTTTATACAATCAATTTCTCTACAGAGGCCCCTAGTGTTGCGCTCTATTCGAGTGGTCCTTGCATGCTGACCGCCTTTGGCTGAAAGTGACAGAAGGAACGGTCTTTTCACATACACCCAGCACTGTTTGTTGATCTCGCTCAGCCTCTCTCTCTCATGCCCGAGTGACTTTGTGAATGCAGACAGACAGTACGCACCGGCATTCCTCCTCGTCTAGGCCTTTCCCTTCAGCATATTAGACAGGCAGACAGAGAGAGAGACAACTGGGGAGAGAGAGACAAGTCAGAAGTGGATTATGGTGGACATATTGACATGTGGGAGTGATGTTACTGATGGTACGATCAGAGTTACAGGATTTCTGTTGTGTTGAGCTGCTCACCACGTGGACAGATCTTTTTCCAGCCCGTCTTTTTATTAAAGAGTCGTGAGCTCACTGGCTTGGCTACTGTAAAAAGACGGCTCACTCTTACTCAGCCTATAAATAGACCTCCCTCTGTTTATATAAAAAGAGAGAATGCTAAAGACTGAGCCAACTACAGCCCAAACCGACATTGTATGAAAGACAGGAAGAAAGAGCGAGAGAGCGAGAGAGAGGGAGAGGAAGTGAAGAAACAAGAACCTTACCATAACCAGAGTGTGAAAGACTCTTTGTGTGAGTGCATTTGAATGCATTTAAGAGAATATGCGTATTTGGGCTTGTGTCCATGAGAGGAGGAAAGACTTTGTGTATGTGCAAGTGTGTGTTACAGCTAACCAGTGCACGGGGGAGCTGAGGGATTTCAGGCACCGGCTCATGAATATTTGAGCATGTGAGAGAGACTGTGCATGGGCATATGTGTGCATGCAGTTTCCCCATAGCTAATAATAGCACTCTGAGCCATAATGGCGGCTCAATCAGACTCTTAATGGACCAAGGAGCACCTGCAGAAGCAGAAACTGACAATTAGCAACAGGAAAAAGCCATAAAAGCGAGCTGCGATGGTTTCCGTATGAAAGTTTGAAAGTATGTCACTGTATTTCACCTTATGTATTTTACATGCTATGTGCGTGATAGGCTGTAGTCACCGTCTCCACTCTGAAAGGGTTTCTATAGATACATCACTACTTTATCTGTCACATTGATCCATAGAAACACTAAAAGCACATTAAACGCTGCAGCATGTGGTACAATTAAAGTACCACTGTGAGTGCTTGGATGTCTGCCCCTGAACCTCCGATCATGTACACTTCCTTCTTGATAAGATAGTTCTATGTTTTATTATTGTCCGGTACTAAATCCACATTATTGTCTGAGGCTTAGGAATCAGGCTAACGCCAGACCGTCTCATCTAATAAACTCACTGTTCTTTTTTGTTACGGTCAGTGAGGATTCAGTTTAGCAGCTCAGAAATACTGAGAAAGAAAGAGTTCACGGGAAAAACTCTAGCTTTACGATGCAGGATATTCATTTCTTGATCAGATGTTGTTCATAGCATCAAAACAGCTACTGCTTCAAATGTTGAAGCAACATCATTTATGGCAATAACACAAACTTTACCCAACATAAATGTTGACATCCCGAACTAATATGAGTCTTTTCTTCAACTCCTCTTTGTTTTAATAATCACACTATACACAAGAAAACTCTAATATACTTTCTAATATACTCATCTCTAAAAAAGTTTAAGGCACACTCAGTCATTTTTATGCATTAGCACTGGCCAATATGGTCATGTTTGACATGTAAGCAGCAATACTTTTGTTACCGATGGCTGTAAAGAAATGTGCAGTTCACAGTCAGCCGTAATTAATTTATTCAGTATGCAAATGTGTCCACTAACAGGCGTTTACCAAGACAACATGAGCACTATTTGGCTGGTCATGTGATCTCAACATGGTGGCCCCCCTGAGATGGTGCTCCATGTAAAATAGATTAGGCTACTGATGTTACTGGAGTCATCATTTCAGTGGATATCATTTTCAAGTGCTACTCATTTATTTCTTCTTAAAACTTTAAATAAAAAATATTAAATACTAAGTGCACTTTTAAGTGCACTCAGCAAACAAGATATAACTGACCAGATTACAGTTAGTTTATATTAAAATACTAACATTAATGTGAATTCGAATGTCTTTTAAAAAGCTTAATATACTACAGCAGGTAGAATCAGGAGGGCTGACAACACACTCTCAATGCAATTTGTAATTATTGAATGTTTTCTTAATTCGTATGCTTGCTTACGCCTCACTGACAGGTCAGGTCTGGGGTAGACCTTTTCCTTACAAAAAAACGTTCGCCATTGTGTAAAAGAGTCACATTTTCTCATTAGACTGGGTTGAGTCCGACTGTGAATTTGAAGGTTGTGCTGATGACCTGTCATAATTAGGCCTGTCGCAATAATCAATATATCGACTTATCACGCAATATATGTACATGACCTCAATAATTTTTGGTGATCTACATTGTGATTATATATTCAGTGGCATATAATGGTCTTTAAAATGACAATAATATCGCTTATCGCAATTATTTCTGGGGCAATATATCGCACAACAAAAAGTTGTTATCGTGACAGACCTAGTCATAATGAGAAGTGTTAATAGCCTCGCTGTGCTACATGAAGAAGTTTATTAGAGGGGTGGACAATGCCCAATTATTGAGCCATGCCCTGTGATTTAGAACAGTGAGACGGGCCGAGGAGAAAGAGGGCAGTGAGACAGGTTGAGCACAAAGACAAAGAAATGATGATTGCATTATTGTGGCTTTATGAACACACATCAAGATCCTAAGAGTTCTCACATCATGATTGCTTAACTCTAAAACCATTTGAGAGTAACAGAAGAATGTTTTGTTTGTTTTATTGTGTGTGTCGTTTGTTTGATCATGTTGTTTGAACTACCATAGTTGCCTGGAGCACACTGTGCGTCTGTGTATGCAGAGACATCCAGGCACTGTCACACCCATGGCCTGGTCTGTCTCTCTTCGTCTCCAATTCATCATCATCATCAGCTTTTGCTTCTTCTTTTATCGCCGGCATGGATGTCGCCGCTAAACACATACAATGCGTAATTATAAAAAGCCCAAATTTACCTGTAGATGCAGTTTCCATGGCAACGCCTCTTCCTTCAAAGCGATGGAATTGTTGCTTGGGCGCGTGCACACCGTCCCGCATCTCGTCGAAACGGGGCCCTGCGCTCCCAAACATCCCGTTCTTCTCCTCCTCCTCCTCCTCGAACCATTTCCCATCCAAACCCGGCCCCTCGCTCGAATTGGCGGACATGCTTACAGTAATCGCACGCAGGGAGTTTGTTTCGAAGCTAGAACGATTCTGTGAGATCGCAGAAGATATTCAAAGATGTGACGCTTAATATGGCCGATCCTGACCGATGCTTCCCGTCTCGCAGCAGCGGAGCCAGTGGGCTCGATGTGTTTGGTTCAGTGTCTCGGAGCTGACGTCACTGTATCTGTGCGGCTCGCGGTTGGCACGGATTTAGGACGGAGAGCGACATTCCGTGTGCGCGCGCCTCCACCCCACGGGCGTGGTTCATGCTACCTCACAGTACACATAACACGTACGCCACATTTAAGCTTTTTAAATAGACTTCAGCGCAAATTACAAAAATACATTCAGCGATGAAGGAAACAGTCTTAACATGACTTTTTCCTCGTTGTTGCAGCCTGAAATGACTAAATTTGCAGGAGTTGTTTGCAGAAACAGTGTTTTTTACTAAATTGATTAGTCATTAAATTATTTTATATGATTTCCGACTTATTTCAATATTTTATATTTTATAGGCGCTGTTTGTCAATATTTATACTCTGCCCAGTTTATTTGTTTAATTTAACTTAATATTATTTTAGCATGAATGGGATAAAATTGGTTGAATTTGGATTATTTTTATTTTATCTTATTTCTTCAGAATTGTGAAGATTAGTTTGTCTTTTTCTATATGCTATACCCTTACCCTTAGCTAGCATTGTTGTGTTGTGTAGGTGTGTTTTCTGTGTTTTCTCCGTTTGTTTTAATTTCCAATTTTAATTTGTGTTGGGAATCATTATTAAGATGTTGTTTATTTTCCTTCTTTATTATATGTAAATAAAAGTTTTTCTTTTGTATAAATAGTTTTAAAAAGTGTAGACTAATTAAAGGATTTTGTTTTGTGAAATTTAAAATTAAAATATTTCAACACGGAATAATTCTAAAGTCGCCATATAGAAGCTTCCATTTAAACCTCGGTCAATAATGCACATTGCCTTGAAACACTCACATTTGATATAGTTTTACGGGTGGATGATCCGGTGTTTTAGCACCATCTGCTGGCGGACAACACAACACATTCCAACAGGGCTTCCTTAGCACCGACGCGACGAGCCACGCTTCCTTAGCAACGGCCTGATGTAAACATTGCAGTGAGCAAAATAAAAAGGAAAATCATAAGTGCGGCTCGGTACTGGAGTATTGATATGTTTTCCCTGTTGAAAGGTATGTTTACACTTAACAGGCATCACGCAGCTGTTGAACTTTATAGTGGAGATTAGATAAACTGATTTGTTGTAGTGGTAAATCATGGAGTGTGAAGGAATTTGACTTGGTCACCTGCTGGGCTCTGGACTAGTATGCAGTTGGACATACACAAACAGGTGAGGAGTTTCTAGTGCAAATACGCATTAGTAAAAATGAGTAAAAATTAGAAATGTATATTTTGTGAGATAAATGTTTATAAGTATACGTAAAAGGTGTTAGCAGCATTGCAGCATTTTGAATGTGTTTTTGTAGTTGTTCAGTATTAACTAGGATAGAAATGTAGCTACATTTTATTATTATGTTTAGTAGCTACAGTCGTAGTAATTTTTAGTAAAGAATTAGTGACTGTTTTATTTGTTTGAATGCCCATAAGCCTTCAAAAATACTGTTTTTAAGGGGATCATGACACAGAATGAAAAGCAGAGACTAACTGGAGACGAAGAAATTATAAAAGAGCTGGTGAGTTTTTTTATTTATTTTTTTAGTTCAAATAAATAAACTTAATGTGCAATTTGCCTTTGTGTGGTTTTCTAATCTAAGCCACATGTGCTGGTCTGTGCTGAAGTGTCTTTGGATTGTTTGTTTCCTCAGTGTGTGTCTAATGGACTCTGCTATGAGAAGGTGTGTCAGGAGGGGTGTGGTGAAATGGTTCTGGAGATGTTTTTCTCTGGTTTCCCGCGCATGGTGGGCCTCTCTCTCTTTCCCAGACTGTCCAGTCTCACTATTATAGGCCAGAGCATCAGCTCAATCCATGGTCTGGAGTATTGCCCACTCCTCAAAGAATTATGGGTAGTGGAGTGCAAACTGAATGTAAGTTACTGAAAAGATTTGGAATGTTTCTAGTTTAATTTTCTAAAAATGTTTAGTGGATTAGATTTCAGTATAATTACAGTATTTTTATTTTTTGGGGCTTTTTCTGCAATTTTGCCAAGGTTGTTCATTTGAAATGCTTATTTTCTTTGACAGATTTACTCTAATTAAGATGAAAATCAGCAAATAAATCTAGTATATTTTGATCTGTTTGGCATTGTTTGTGTGTTGTAGGAAATCTGTGGCCTACATAACTCTGTGCATCTGCAGAAATTATTTCTGTACGACAACGACATCCAGCAGATCACAGATCTAGAGATGTTGGTTGACCTTCACATTCTGTGGCTTAATAAGAACCAGATCTCTGACATACAGGTATAGCCTATGTTTATGTCTGGAGATACTGTAAATGAAATTTTAAATTATATTATTTATAATATATACAGTACCACTGTTTTACACCTTGTTTTACAGGGATTGAATTCACTTGTAAGCCTTAAGGAGTTGAATCTTGCTGATAATGCTATTGAGACTCTTGGTAGGTCCACTGTAAAACACCACATTTTCGCCATTGTAGCATTTAATTTTTGTACTATAATATTAGAATATACATAGACATTTAAATCTGTTACTAGATACTCTAATATTTAACATGTTTTTTTCTAAGGTCATAGTTTGGATCCCAACATCAATCTCCAAAATCTAAACCTCTCAGGGAACAAAATCAGTTCCTTCAAGGTATGAGAAATATACCATTATTTGACCTGCTATTTTGATAACTGTATAATAGCAGAGTAATTTATTTTCATGAATAAGGCATGAATTGTATAGAACTGAATTTAATTTAATAGTATTTGCTAAGGCATGCAGCCCTAAAATTGCTTATAATTAATTCAGTTTTTAATAACTTACCTTAAAGGTACAGTCACATTTACCATTGCTCAGTGAAATTTCCTGGGCAAATGGGATCACACACCCAAGATGTTCATATGTAGTTACTTATTACAAAAATATGTTTTTAAAAATAAACATAATTGCTTCAAAATTCACGTTTTGCTTTTTACCAAAGACATTATTTTACTTATAAATTGAAAACCTCATTATAAAAACCCATAGGGAAATGACAAATTAGTCTTCCAGTATTTGGTGTCACAGCTGCAGCTCTCTATAGACAATGGACCTTTATCGTCTCCAAAATTTTGCTAAAATTTTGCTAATGTGTCTGCAACTTACGTATTAAACTTTGGGACATACCTATGTTTTTGCTGCGCACATGAATGATGCCTAAAATCATGTTTTCTCTTATTAGATTGTGGCTTGCCCTTTGTGTAGAGCCCATTTTGTTTGTTTGTTTGTGTCCGAGATTACTAGGTAATAATTTCCTTCTGGCCTTCACACCGTTATTACTGCAGGCCTGTATCTACATGTCATTATTGCATCCTCCCTCTCCTGCTCACTATAGATCTGATTACTGTTATTTCTGTGCATGCTCTGTATTTTCTCAACTCCCCAGAGAGACCTGATCATTTCAGGAGTTGCACGATTCAGGTTTTTGCTTTTCACTTCTTATCACATATTATCGTAATGTGGCATCTCTGTCCAAATAGTTTTCATCTGTCTCTCTTTTTTCGAAAGGAAAAAGAGATACTTTTTCAATAACAAGAATAAATATTTTCATTTTCAAGTGGTGTGGCTCCTGAATGGGGTGCACATCTCTAAATGGGGGCCTTTGTTATTTTGTGTGAGTCGAGTGATTGAAAGCTCCTCTGTCTCGTTTCGGCTCTTTGTGTCTGACGGTCCTTCACTTCTCTTTCTGTCTAACACACACAGTTTCATGACACTGATAGGTGTTTGTATGGTGCTTTTTGTGCTGTTCATCTGTGGGCTTCAGGCTCATATGTGAGGTTCTTTTCTCTAATGGGAAACTAATGCACTTCCATTTAATGTCGCAGCAAAATGTTTCATTTATGTAGGCGGAAGTTATTTCCTGATGTTGCAAAAATAACAAAATATTAAAATCAAAATATCAATAACAAACAGCATTTATAGCATAAATTAATATACCATACATACCACAATCATTGAAGATTTTTTTTTTTTTTTTACAAAAAATGAATTCATATTCCTGAATAGTCCTGATCCCTGAAAGAAAAAAACTGTATGTAAAATCTGTACGACCATTGTTTTCCTTATAGGAACTGACCCATCTGGCTCGGCTGCCCCGACTAAGACACCTGAGTCTGAAGGACCCTCAGTCCATTCCAAACCCGCTGTGTCTGCTCTATAATTACTACATACACGTCCTATATCACATGCCACACCTGCAACGCCTGGACACATATGACATATCCAGCAAACATCTCAAAGACACTGCAGAGGTGAGAGAATCTCTATTTCATCTGAAAGTCTGTCTTTTGTGTTTAAGAATGATGGGAACATGTGGTTGTGCATCAGTCTACAGTGCTGAAGAAAATGATGTATTACACCATGCGGGAACGTTGTGCGCTAAGACAGTTTGATGACCTTAAAGCCAAGCTCAGGCAGCAGAGGAGAGACCAGATACAACTACCAGAGGAGAGAATACGAGTGCTAACACATGTGTTTAGAAATGTGAGTATATACAGGATGCACACAGTGTTTTTTTTGCCACAATGGTGGTATATTTAGAGTATCACTTTTTTCCTAAATCCATTCCTAACATATTTAGTAGGAATGCACCCATATAAAATTTCTGATATTGATAAGCTTAAAATTATTGTTGTTATAGCCGATAACTGATAAATGGCTGACTTTAAAATAATGTAAAATTATATATGTGTGTGTGTGTGTGTGTGTGTGAATTAATTATGTGTTAAAATATAAGAAAAAAATATTTTTAATAAAATAAAAATAAAATACTACAAACTAAAGCCAGTTGTTTTAAATGTGAAGTGAATTTAGCTATCACAGCATTATAATGTACAACATAAAAATGAAATTAGCTAAATATTACATTTGACTGTTATTCAATTATTGTTGTTTTTTTTTTAAAGACGAACTTTACGTGATCATTAGATATTGGAAAGAACTATATGTAAAATAGAGGAAATTAGCATGCACTCTTAAATATCCATTAAAAAAACAAAAACTAATACTGGATGATAACCAGTATGGTACTGATATCCCTCATTTTCAGAAATAATAATAATAAAAATATTATTATTAAATTAAGTCATCCTCAAATTTGTCCCCAAACTAGTTTGTTTGTACCCTAAAATACACTGACCCTCTGTGGGCAGATGGAATGTGAGCTGTCCCATGTACAGTCTGCTGGTAAGGGAGATCCTGAAGACTTGACCTCTGACCTTCGTAATGACCACAGCCATGAGCAGAGACTGCAGCACAAACTGAATGCTCTTAAAGACCGACTGAAGTTCTGGAAGCGGCACCTGGAGGAGTGAGTGTGAATTTTATATAAACCTTTATTTATTTTATATACATCTTATGTAAACCTGTGTGCATGATTATTGTCAGGTCTTACATTTCTTTGTTTTGTTTTGTTTTTTTCACAGGGTAGAAGCATGTCACCAACATAATGTGGCCTTGGCCTCAGATAGAAGGGATATTACGGTGCACTTTTTGCTGTTGGAGCTGGAAACCGTGGGGAACATTCGCTTTGAGGAGGGAAACACTGGCGAACCTTGGTACTACATGTATGCATGCAAGATCAGTTGTACAGAACACAACATGCAGGATTACTGATCTGTACTGTTCTCTGCTTCCTCTCTCAGGTTCACGTCATGTTACGATCTCTTGCTGTCTCGTTTCTGTGTGTGGGATTATAAACCTCACCACATCACTGGCATTAAAATCAATCGAATCATCCGTATCCATAACCGAGCCCTGCGGCAACGCTTCCAGGACAAAGTACACTCTCTGCTATGCAGACAGGAACCTTCACCCTACTCACAGTGAGTCAGCCAGATGCTCACTGTGTCTCTTCAAGAAAAAAAATGGCTGATTCAAAATAGATACTGTTTGATAGTCTTACGTTTATATTCATGAATCAATAATCCATATTCATAGTTCATATAAATTTTTAAGATCATGAGATATGTGTGTGTGTGTGTGTGTGTGTGTGTGTGTGTGTGTGTGTGTGTGTGTGCGTGCGTGTGTGTGACAGGAACTATAAATGCTGCATGGAGTATCTGTTCTACGTGCCCGATCCAGAACATTCCTGTGAAAGCGTTGAGATACTACAAACCCTAGAAAATGGTTTTAAAACTGCTAATGCATATAAGGTACACAACCCATCAAAGCCCGGTGAGGACTGGTTATGAATTTCTGTTGTTTTTAAATGGATCCATCATCTTGAACATGGATGTGTGTTTCTTTCCTTCAGGCGTTAGGCAGAGAGAGAGCCGTCCCCCTCTCTAACAGTGTGAGTGTGTCTGATCGACTGCGAATGACATTTATGCAGAAGAAGAGTTGCTCAACATCAGGAAGTAGCCCTGTAGACCGTCTTCCCTTCAGACATGGTCTGGATTCACTCAGAACCTTTAAATTAGATTAATTTGAAGGTGCTGTCTGTCATTTCTGTGCTACTTCTGGCACCAAACAATATTACAAAAATAAAAGTTTGGGGTCAGTAAGATCTTTTACATTTAAAAAAAAAAATATCTTATGCTTAAAATACAGTATGATCAAAAATACAGTAAAAACAGTAATGTTGTGAAATATTATTTAATATTATTATTTACAATTTAAAATAGCTGTTTTCTATAAAAATATTTGTTGAAATGTAATTTATTCTTGTGATGGCAAAGCTGAATTTTTAGCAGTCATTACTCCAGTCTTCAGTATCACATGATCCTGCAGAAATTATACTAATATGATGATGTGGTGCTCAAGAAACATTTCTTATTATTATCAATGATGAAAACGTTCTTGATACTTTTTAAAGATTTTGTTTATGAATACAAAGCACAAAAGAACAGCATTTACTTGAAACAGATATCCTGTGTAACGTTATAAATCAATTTAATGCGTCCATGCTGAATTAAAACGATAATTTTCTCTTTAAAAAAAATGCTGCCCCTAAACTGAGCAGTAGTGTACATACATTATGAATATCTCAATAATGTCACTGATATCTAAAAGTGTTTTGCTTTCATGCATTTGTGTATTGTGTATATATATTGTGTATATTGTGTATTGTTTTAGGTCAGTTGATAATTTCTAAAGTGTTCCTGGGCCGCAGTGCTGCAGCAAAGGAGGGTCTCCTAATAGACTGTGATCATTACCCTAAAGCGAACTCTGTCTACCTCAGTACCTGCTCTAAAGAGCAAAAACACACAGCACAAACAGCCCCTGGTGAGTTGGAATATGTGAACCCATCAGAGAAAAATGTCTTCAGGGCAGTGGTGATCAAAGCAGCAATGTGTGTGTATATGTGTGTTTTTGTTTGTCAGACTTGCTGGGTCTCTCCAGCCTGCCGGACAGCTGTGACTGTAGACAGCAACAGAAACTGTGGTACATGTTTGACCATGAAATGGTCCTGCCAGAGTACCTTGTAGACTTTGAATATGTAACAAAGGTATATGTGTTTAACAGTATACACTCACACATTTACACCATCCTGTTAATTTCATACCAGAAAATTGTAATCAAACCATCTTTATCTTATGGCATCTTTCTCTAGGACACATCCCAGCCCTCTCCAGACTTCCCGTCCAGTTCTCATACATCCCCTGCTGATGCCCCATCTGTGTCTCTTGCTGAGCTGGACCTGGATGAGGAGGCATTAAAAATGGAACCCATCCTGAAGCCTCACCCCAAGCTGCTCAGTCTAGATGATCAATCCATACTGACAGTGGCCAGAGCAAACGTCCTCAGTCAGATCACAGTGAGACTTACAATACCTAACACACACAAACCCATATCTCTGTAGTATGTAAGTCAGTTAGTGAGGTTGTGATCATTTCATTGACGTATTTCCTGTCATACAGGTACTGAATCTACATGGCAACAGTCTGAATAAACTGCCTGAGATTTCTCGACTAACGGCTCTAAAGCATCTGACCCTCAGCTTCAATGAGTTCACTCATTTGGACGATATTTCACACATGGTGAGGAGATCATTCTATTCATTCATAATTCCTTCTTATTCCATCTTCTCAATATGACATCATTACTAACCTTTAAAGGCAGCATGACAAAATTGTCAAAAGTCAAAACTGACCCTATATACTCTTTTAATGCACATTATTGGTCTTCATTCACTCTAAAATGAATTTTTAGTTGATGTCACTTAGTTCCTTTATTTTTAACCACCTGTCATAAAAACACTTTTGATGATATAACAAATTAAATGAAGTCCTATCATTGAATATGAAGTTGTGACTTGTGACTGTCTTTGTCTTTGTCTCTCAATGTCCCTCTATTTTTCTCTTAATCCTTTAGCCAAACCTGGAGTATCTGGATGTTAGTTTTAACCATATTTCCTCTCTGGAGGGTCTGCGTGGACTTGGTCGACTCATAGAACTGGATCTTCGCTGGAATCAATTGACCCGAATCAGGGATGACATGAACATTTTGCGTAAACGCACACCAGCCCTGCTCCGACTGGACACACGGCACAATCCTTGGCACAGGGTACAAGTCACCTTACATGACTGAGCTTCATATTAGACTGCATAAAACATAAAGCATCATGACCAAATGAAGACTGAGCAAGTTGATATCTGTTCAGAGTCAGTGAGATAAAAAAAAAAAAAAGAAATTAATATTTTTATTCAGCAAAGATTAAATAAATTGTTTAAAAGTGACAGTAAAGACAATTATAATGTTACAAAAGATTTCTATTTCAAATAAGAGAAAAAAATCTTTAAAATATGTTTCATGGTTTCCACAAAAATATTAAGCAACTCAACCTGTTCACTTGTGTGTGTTGCAGAACGAGTGTGTGCGTATGGTGGTTCTTGGTCTGTTGAAGACTCTCACTCATTTGGATGATGTTTTAGTGATGGAGGAGGAAGCAGGTGCTGCTATTCAAGTGGCTGCCCAATCTAGAATCAACCAGGTATAAATATTCTGGACATTATACTCAATGTTAACGTTTGTGTCCACATTTGACCTGGAACTTGTGTATGTGTGTGCAGGCATCTCTGATGACCCACTCTCGGACTGACAGTGAACGTCCCCGCAGTCTGAGTTTGCTCTCTTCTGCTCACCTGCTCACACAGATCAGCCCATCTCCATGGAAACACTCACAAGAGCTTGAGTTAGGCTGGACCACCAAAGTATGACATATAAACTCACATTCTCTCACACATTTGAAAGGGTTCATTCACTCACCCTTTTGTAATTTCTTTGTTTGTTCTGTGAAACACAAAGAAGATATATTGTAGAATGATCAAAGGCCTCTTTATTAAAATTGGATTTGAGACATTTATTCTGTTTTTTTTTAATGACCATTTTTGAACCTCAACAATTCAAATTCCCATTAAGTTCCATTATGTGTTAAAGAGCACTCTAGACATTCTGCAATGTATCTTCCTTTGTGTTTAGCAGAAGAAAGAAAGTCATAAACATTGGGTGAGTAAAAAGCTATGTTTCCATCCAAAGTTGCAAATTTAACTTGTGCGCAAAATTACAATATCACGTAAAACATTTGCGACTAAAGCATTGTTTCAATCCCATGTGTTCAAGAGAATAAAATGGTCACTTTCTGGGAAACTAGTGCAAAGAATCAAAAATAAAAATGAAGGTTGCTGCAACTGGGGAAGCCTGTGGCTCCTTTTTCCTACATAATAAATGACGAAACACAAGAAACATGATAACAAACGCTGTCATATTAACTTGCATTCGGATGACTGAGTTTTGAAACAGTCGTGAGACAGTTGTGAGAGCCACAACCAAATCGTTTTGATGACAGGTATTTCAAAATTATTAAAACAACATTTGAGATTTTATGCGATGAGATTGGTGCACTACTTCAGTTATCCAAGCACATGATCTGTAGAAGAAAAGTCATGTAATTTTTTTGATTTGCATTAAGGAATTCATTTGTTAACTGTGTTTCCATCATAGTTTATTCGCATGTCTTCTTATCAGAAAAAAAATTATATGACTCAATTGAGCGCATATGTTTTTATGTGCATCTTGGCATTTCCATCCAGCATTTTTTTTTGCGATATATCCCAAAATTCGCATAAAAATAGGTGGATGGAAACAGCTAATGATGACATAATATAATTTCTTGTTAGAGCCGTATCTTTAACCTATATATTTTGTCCTTTGCCCTGCGGGGTCAGATCACCGCACTGAATCTTGATGGCCAGCGGTTGACCCGGCTCAGTAATCTTGACCGACTAGTGAATCTATGCTGGGCTTCATTTGACAATAATGAATTAACCCGAATTGAGGGTCTGGAATACTGCCCCCTACTGGAGGAACTTTCTCTTAATAACAACAGTATCACCAGACTGGAAGGTAGTGCTCTGTCTCTCCCTCTCTCCCAGTATCTTTACTGTATCAGTTTAATATAAAACCAGGAACAAAGCGGTGTAATAGAACCTTCATTAATTAGTTCATCACACTGTTTTTTTCTGTGTTCATAGCTGCTCTTTGTTTGGTGTGTGGCAGGTTTGTGTGCTATGCATCGTCTGACTCGTCTGAGCATTAACAGCAACCACCTACAGTGTTTAGACGGGGATGTTTTGGACCAGCTACCCAACCTTCACTTCCTGTCTGTCGAGAACAACATCATCTCCTCTCTTCATGGACTTCAAAGGTCACGGTCCTTATTTGAGCTGTATGTCGGCAACAATGACATCAGCACCACCCGAGACATATACCACTTAAAGGTGAGGAGATTTTATAGATCTGAATATCATTTTGTGCAAATAATGATTTTTTAAGCATTCATTCAAAGTACCTGGTCATGAGAATACATGTAATGTGCTGTAGTGGAATGTTGAATTGAGTAATGTGTGGTGGTGATGTAGTGTCTTTTACTCTCAGGCACTGTCTAGTTTAATTATTCTGGATCTATACGGGAATCCCCTAGTAAACAAACTCGAGAACTACAGGATCTACATGGTTTTCCATCTGCCTTCACTCAAAGCACTGGATGGAGTAGCCGTGGTAAATATAACTGATGCTTCTGTATGTATATCTTCCATGCTTCCTGTTTTGTTTTCATATGTACACTACCATTCACAAATTTTGAACGAAATTAGTACATTTATTCAGCGAGGATGCATTAAATTAATCAAAAGTGACAGTAAAGCCATTTATTATGTTACAAAAATATTTTTAAAAAATGCTGCACTTTTGAACTTTCTACTCATCAATGAATCCTGAAAAAAATTTATCATGGTTTCCACAAAACTATTAAGCAGGACAGCTGTTTTCAAAATTGATAATAATAGGAAATGTTTCTTGAGCACCAAATCAGCATATTAGAGTGTTTTCTGAAGGATCATGTGACACTGAGGACTGGAGTAATGGATGCTGAAAATTCAGCTTTTCAATTACAGAAATAAATAACATTTTAAAATACATTAAAATACAAAACCGTTATTTTAAATTGTAATAATATTTCATGGTATCATTATACAGTATTTTTGATTAAATAAATGCAGCCTTGATGAGCATAAGACAAAAACATTTAAAAAATCTTATCAACCCAAACTTTTAAAGGTAGTGTTTGTATACTTTAACACCCTTTAAATGAACATTTCATCAAAAACATGAACATCCTGTCATCATTTACTGACCCTTATGTCATTTCAGACCCATATGATTTTCTTTCTTCTGTTGAAAACAAAATAAGACATTTTGCCTAAGCTGCTCTGTCTAAGCTGCTCTTTTCTATGCAATGAAAGTGAAAGGGAATGGAGGCTGTCATGAGGTTGACTGTTGCCGGAATTTTAATTTTTGTGTGAACCATTTGGGTGATTTAAGGTAAAAAAAAAAAACACACACACACACACACAAATGTGTCTGTGCTCTTTAGGAAACGTGTGAATCAGAAACTGCTAAAGACGTGTTTGGAGGGCGGCTCAATGCAGATATGGTGGCTGAGAAGCTCGGCCATACCAACCTCAGAGACCTGTCAGAGCTCAACCTGCAGTCCAGCTCAGTCAGGTTCACATGAACTCTTTCTACAATCCTACAGTCAAAATTAAACCAACACAACAGAACTGGATATGTTGCTTCACATTTTATGATTTCTGTTTTCCTGTGTGTCTTAGGATGGTGGATCTTGCTCCTGCTGATTTGTTCAGTAATTTACGCAGTATTAATCTAGAACACAATAACCTCACCTCATTCAGCAGTCTCATCTTCCTGCCCAACATTAAGGTATTTATATGTTTACGACAGAATGTAAATACAACACTTATGTCTTTGTCTATGTTACTGGCTATGTATACTAACATTATATACTATCAGCCACTGTGTGTCTACAGTATGTATGTTTTTGTTTATGCATGTGTTCTTTCAGGTGTTGTCTCTGAACTATAACCACATTGAGTCAATTCTGCCACGTCAAAAAGTTCAGAATCACATGAGCAACAAGCAGATTCTCTATCATAAAGTCAGTTCCAGTGGATATGGGCAGCAAAACAGCAGGCCCAGCAGGTACACACACACACACACACACACACAACATCACTCTCATAATCTATTGTGGTGATATACTGTAGTTTCTTGTTCAACCACAAGAGAGCATCACAATTACATATAATAGAGATTCCCAGACTGCAGTGACTGTTTATAAGCAGAGAAGGACTCACAGCTTCAGAGGCTGCTAAGTTTTGGGAGTGACTGCCACGTTTATTAACAAAGTGTCTATACCGCATACAGAATTAATGCAGTAAACTGTACTTTTCTGAATGACACACACACCTCTACATGTGCCTCTCATTTGTTTCTTCTCACTTTCTTTCAAAATGTTCTTCTCCTCCCTTCCTTCACTTTGTTTGTAGGGAGGGACCTACTGATAATCTGGAGCCTCTGATGTCCAGTTTGGAGGTTTTGCATTTAGGTTATAATGGTATATCCAACCTGATCAATCTACAGATCAGCCGACTGACTAACCTCAGAGCACTGTTCCTACAAGGTATGTACAACCTCTCTTGTAGAGCTATTCATCACTGTCTGCAAACATATCCTCAATGAAGTATACAGAAAATATTTCAAATATGAAATATGCTGTTCATTTGAATGTTGTATTCATTAAAGAATCCTGAAAAAACTGTAACCCTTTTCACAAAAATATCAAGCAGCACAACTGTTTTCAACACTGATAATATTATAAAATGTTTCTTGAGCAGCAAATCAGCATATTAGAATGATTTCTGAATGACTTGGTGACACTGAAGACTGGAGTAATGGATGCTGAAAAATCAGCTTTGCATCACAGGAATAAATTACATTTTAAAATATATTAGAATAAAAAAGTTATTTTAAATTGTAATAATATTTCCCAATATTACTGTTTTTGATCAAATAAATGCAGCCTGGGTGAAAATAAGAGACTTCTTTCAAAAACATTAAAAAATCTTACTGAACACAAACATTTGAACAATGGTGTATATACTGTATATTCTTTAATGAGATCTTCTCTAAGCTCCTTCTCTCTTTCCCTAAGGGAATGATATCAGTCGGGTAGATGGACTGGATGGTTTGCGGGGACTGCGTGAGTTGGTTCTGGATCGAAATCGAATTAAATCTTTGAGTGAGAGCTCATTCTGTGGACAGAGAGTTCTGCTGGATTTGCACTTGGCAGAGAATCGCATCCGTGAACTGAACCACCTTCTGCCTCTCACTGAGCTCCGGAGACTGTTCTTAGACATGAACAAAATACAGGTACACAATAACACCTACACAAAATACACAACAACCTACCTAAAATACAGGTACACAGTAAACATGTACACAAAGTTTCATCCTTGACTGTAAAGCTCCACTAAGGAAAAAAACTGTGACTTTTCCAAGCTTCTTGTTGGAAACAGACTATAATTTGTTATATGCTGGAAAAAGCTGCAAACTATCAGTTTAACTTATAATTTAACTTAACATTTGGTATTTGAGTCATGAGTCAAACAGTTTGGTTCACATTCATTAGTTAGACAGGATGGTCTGTCAGATATAGTTAATCTTATGATAGGTATACTTTGCCATATAATTTAAGCGTTGTAGGTTAGAGTTACACATGATTTTATTAGCAGCATAGTATCTACCAAGAAACTTAGGAACAATGTTACTCTAAACCCAGATGAGTGTGTGTGTGCAAGTTTGAGTGCTTGAGGCTTGCTTTCATTATTCACTTCTCCATTGTCATCTGTATGTGTGTAGCTGCAGTTTTACTGTAATTACTAAATTACAGTAATTCAGTCACTTAGTGTGTTTGTATTAGTGTTGTGGCCCTGTGAGAGCTCTGCCTTTTGTCTGCCCCTGAATATAAAGTAATTACAGACAGCCATTACTGCACCAGCACTGTAGCACAAGGGGACAATTAAGCAGTATTTACATTGATTGAAGGTCAGAGGTGTGTGTGTGTGTGTGTGTGTGTGTGTGTGTTCTTGAGACTCACTGATCTTTTTTGATTTACCTCCTCATTCCTTTATCTCTGTGGAATTCATGACATGTTAACAAAAACCTTTAATTTGATGTTTCTTGTGTCCTGCGCATTTCCTAATCCTATTTTTTTTTCATTGTTTATTCCCCTCCTCATATGCCTGTTTATTTAAATCTTTTTAAAATCTAGTTTAAAAATGCATGTGCCACATTCTTAGAAATGTAATTTTTGAATTCATGTTGGTTTTATACATTAAAGAAAAAAAGATTTGACAGATGACAAATAAAATACTAATTACTAAAATACTAAAATACTGAGTGGTGTAACCATCAAGCAAAAAGTAATAAAAGATGTCCACATATTTCAAAATAAACCAATATATCAAATTTAATAAATATAAAATGTTTACATTCATCATTATATGAATGATGAATATAATGACTGTGCATTATTCCATTTGACTTTCTCTAAAATTCACAGGATTTATATATTGTTACAAAAGATTTCTATTTCGAATAAATGCTTTCTTTTTAATATTCATTTCATCAAACAATACTGAAAATAAAAGTATCATGGTTTCCAGAAAATGATTAGGTAGCACAACTTTTTTCAACATTTATAATATTATGAAATGTTTCTTCACCAAAGATTGAAGTAATGGCTGCTAAAAATTCAGCTTTGTCATCACAAGAATAAATTACATTTTAAAATGTATTAAAATAGTGAACAATTAAATTGTTATAATATTTCAGAATATTCATGTTTTTACTGTATTTTTGATCTAATAAATGCAGCCTTAGTGAGCGCGAGATACTTACTTCAAAAACAATACAAAAAATCCTACTACCCAAACTTTTGTGTATATAAAAATTATATATATAAAAGCATATAATAGTCAATATGTTTCTTTTTTGTAAGTGTCTAGATGCGTTATATGTATATCAAAGTGTATTTATGGCCTAATGTGTCTTTTGTTTATGTTACAGGACATTTTAGAGTTGGAGAAATTGGAGGTGCTTCCTTCTCTAATAGAACTGTCTGTAATGGGCAACCCAGTGAGTCTCACACACACACACACACACACACACACACATACACAAGATGAAGAGATTTCAAACTGAACTCTTGGCTGAACTGCAAACTAACCATGATTACAGACAAATCCTTAAACACACACACACACACACACACACACACACACACACACACACACACACACACACACACACAGTATAA